GAATCAAGTTTGTATCAAATTTAAACTACTTACAGCTCTGAGCTGAGGCTCCGACCGCGAGAGCGGCCAGAACAGCAAAAACCCACACTTTCATGATCAAAGGCGAAGAAAGAAGTCTTCGTTTGTCCGCTTCCTATGCGTCCGTCTCCTGCAGAGTCCGAACGAAGAATTCAGTCGAGGCTCCGGTGGGCGCAAGTTTGTTCAAACGAGAGTCTTCAGGAGAACGCAGCGCGGTGGTTCTACAGTATGAACGGAAGTGTACTTGATGGCATCACAGCTTAGCTTAGTTTTTAATGCCATCCCCCCTTAATTTAACTGTGATTAATATTTGCAATGGAAAAACATTACATTAAGATTTCTTTAAGAAAAAAAAGATCATTTATAACGTTTATAAGCACTTTTTCAAAATTCCCTTTTACATATGATCTCTTTCGCTCTTTCTTCCAGTATGGAAGTTCTTCCAGGATGTAAATCAGTAGTGTTAACTGAAAGATAATTCTCTGTTTTTTATTGAGATGTGAATCTCACCCTGAAAATTTCAGTTGGTACTAAGGAGCCTAAACTGTGACAAGGTAACATCAAGGAAAAATACATGTTGAACCAGCAGCAGCTGTCTGAACCACTGATAAAAGGCAGAACAGATTCATGGTTGTTTACAGTAAAGTCTGACCTGACAGCAGCTGAACTCAAGACTAATCGGACCAGAACATTTTAGTGATCTTATGTAAACTATAACCTCGGCTTTCTGTTCTTTGATACCAAGAAGATTTCCCTCACACCATTACACCACTACTGGTAGCCTGAACCGTTAAGACGGAAAGGGGCTTTCATGTTGTTCATGCCATAATTAGATCATAACATCTAGATGTTGCAACAAAATCGAAACTCATCAAACCACATTATTGTGGTGAGCACATGCAAACTATAACCTCAGTTTACTGTTGTTTGCTAACAGCAGTAGCACCCGGTGCAGCCCATTTGCAATTCATTTAACATGAATTCAGAGACACTCTTCTGCATAACGTGTTTGTAACGAATGGTTAATTGCGTTACTGTTGCCTTTGTGTCATGTTAAAGCAGTGTGGCCATTCTCCTCTGACATCAGTGTTTTCTCTTAGACCATTTTCTGTCCACCCAAAAGATGTTTGTGTATCAAAATCCCAGCAGATCAACCGTTCCCAGAATCCAATCCAATCCAATCCAACTTTATTTATATAGCACTTTTAAAAACAACAAAGTTGACCAAAGTGCTTTCCAATAATAAAACAGAGATAGCAGTTAAAAACCATACTTTAAGCATACAATGAAATCAATAAACAAAATAAATATATAATTAAAAAAGATAAAAATAAATCAGTGTATATACTAAATATCACAACATGAGTAGAATAAACAATAAGATATACAATGAATAAGATTAACAAGGTAGAAAGATTAAGAATGATCAACAGCTGACTAAAAACTGACTACAAACTGACTCTGATAATACTCCTAGAAAGCCTTTGAAAAAAAGTGTGTCTTTAAAAGTGATTTAAACATTTCAAGTGTTGGGGCCAGCCTGATATGGAGGGGCAGTTTGTTCCATAGTTTGGGGGGCCACAACAGCGAAAGCTCGGTCCCCTCGGTGTTTCAGTCTCGACATGGGGACAGTAAGGAGTGACTGGTCAGATGATCTGAGAGATCTTTGTGGAGTGTATTGGTGTAAAAGGTCTGACAGGTAAGACGGAGCCAGGCCATTTAAGAATACTCACCTGCCTGGCATTAACAACTATGCAAGGTCCCAAATCAATTAAATTAAACCTTTCTTTCCCATTCTGATGCTTGGCTTGAACTCCAGCAGCTCGTGTCATGGTGAGCTGTGCGGCAGGCAAGGGTTGGAACAAATGCAGGACTCTGAGACACAAACTTTAAAGCAGCAGCTTTAATTGTTGGTAAAATGAACTAAAAACAAAGCAGATGAAGGAAACAAAATAAAGACAAATTAGAACTAACAACTGCAGAGACTTGAGACCATGGAACTACAACACACAGCTAACGTGGAGGATGTGACAACAAGCAGGGAGACTGAAGACTTAAATACACAGGCAGGATAACGAGGGGACTGGAACAGGCGGTTACACAACTGGGACTAATCAGAGCTGACAAGACAGGGAGGAAGCAAAACTAAATACGCTGAACACAGTCTATCAGAATAAAAGAGGAAACAAGAGACACAACAGGGAAACTGATGAACAGACAAAAACGCAGAGAAAACTTGGTAAACACAAACAACTGAAGGAAAACAGAAACACACTCTAAACATAATGAAAGAATGACTAAGAACCCGAGACCCACACCGTAACAGAGACTCGTGATCAAACTTCTGATCAATGATCAAACTAGAACAGAAAACTTCAAGAAAACAAACATAAACCACTCAGAATATAATCTCACCCAGATGAAGTCTAAAACAGAACATGACAGCTTGTCTTGACCATGTCTACATACTGCACTGAGTTCCTGCCATGTGATTGGCTTATTACATATTTTTATTAGAAAGCAGTTGAACACATGTACTTAAAAACTTGGCTGGATGCATGCACACTTCCTTTAAAAATAAGAGAGAGAATGGTTATTTTATTTTCTAGTAGGAACGCACATTAACACAAACCATAAACATCCGAAATCAGATTTTATCTGATCTTCACTCAGAGACTTTCCTCCTGAGTTACAGCAACCCCAGAATATCCACAAGCCTTTTCTACTCTGTACCAAAATCGATCAACTCAAAGGCTTAAACAGGACCAGAGGACTCAGAAATATGAGGTGAGGAAGGATCTACTTTATTCTGCTTTTATTTTATTCTTTTGTTGGGGGCAAGGCACTGTCATGACTTAGAGTCACCCAGCCTCACGTGTAAAGGTAACGTAAAATAATCGTTATTGCGTTTTACTAATGCACTGATATTTTTATTAAAAATTAATGTCAGCTTGAATATATGAAAGCTTCACTGGACTGTTACATGTGTCAGTTTGTGACATACTTTGGCAAATACAAGTGTACGTTAACTGTGACCTGCTGTCAAAGTCGTTTTGCATCGAGGTCCACATCCAGCCCACTTTAATCTTAAGTGGGCCGAACCAGAGAAACTCCCCTTTGTCTCAGTATGAAAATGTTTAACCATGCCTTTAATCCCCTTTAATATAAAAAGAAGTGAAATTTCAAGAGTGTTAACATTTAGATGGTAAGGGATTACTTTAAAAAAGCATTTTTAAAATTTCCTTTCAAAATTAAAAAAAAATTGGACAAGGAGGACGAGATGCACGAACAGTCGGGGGCTCCTCATCCACGTAGTAAATGATGATCTTCTCCATCAGCAGGTTCTGCCCATCCACAGAAGGAGTAAAGCGTCTGCTCTGGTCAGTAAACAGTGGCAGCATCTTCACCTGCAGAAAGTCACGTGAATTGATGGAGTTAGCCAGTGGGTCCATTATACAAAACGTGCACACACACAAAAAGGTTGTACATACGTCTTTCTCCATGTAGTAGGCCATTCTGGACAGGTCATAGGTGCGATCTCCTTTCACCTTCTTCACATCAACCACAATCATGCGAGCGTCTGTATATGTAACCACATTACTATACTGTGACTTAAAGATGTTTAAATTTAACAAAAAAACCTTTCAGTATTATATAATCTTGAATCTTTGCTAGACTCTGCTAGTCCCAACAGAGCGGTACAAACCTTCTAAACTGCCACCCACCAACAAAACTAGCTAGCATAACATTAAAAACAGCTTTTTGGTTCAACTCTGGCGGCTAATTACAATATTTGGTCAAGTAAAAAGCAAAACTACATCGCATATAATCATAATATATCCATGTCTTTACTTTGAAATGTGTTTTTTTTTTTGGGTGAAAATTTCCATTAAATGTGCATTTCTTTTCAGCAGAATAAAGTTTGTATCAAATTTAAACTGCTTACAGCTCTGATCCGAGGCTGCTACTGCGAGAGCGGCCAGAACAGCAAACATCCACATTGTCATAATCAAACGTGAAGGAGAAAGTTTTCGTCTGTCCGCTTCCTATGCATCCGTCTCCTGCAGAGTCAAAGACCGAATGAAAAATTCCGTCCACGCACCCAACAAGGTTACTTTTCTCTGCACATGTGCGTCCTGGTCAAACCTGTTTTGGACAGGAACCAAAGCACAGGTGAGATGAAGAACCAAGTCCGTATCGTTCTACAATAGGAACTGAGCTGTACTTGACGACATCACAGCTCAGCTTAGTTTTTACTGCCAGCCCCCTTAATTTAACTGTGATTAATATTTGCAGTGGAAAAACATTACATTAAGATTTCTTTAAGAAAAAAAATGCGCCTGCCTAGACGACGCAGAATAGATGCTGAGTTTGTTACACATACAGACACTGATAGCAGTGCAGAGCCTATCACTGCTACATGTAACCAGGGTAACCAATTATGCAGTCAAAAGGGACCAGACACTTAAATCTTAGTGAAAGGCCATAAAACTGTCCCAGTTTTCTCAACAGTGGACAGAGTTAATGAGCCTGCGCAGTATCTGTGGCTGTTTTATCATCCAAGGATTTATTACTGTGTCATTCTGTGACCTGAACAGGATGTTTAATTGATGCCGCCACCATGTCACTGGTGCTAGAACTAACTGCCACGTTTCAAAACACTGTCCCTTTGTCATGAACTGACCTTTGCTGCAAATTCAAGTGCAGACTAAAATTAGGGCTGAAAAATACCTGCTATCACCCTGCGGCAGCAGTCGTGTGGTGTTGTAAGAATGAGGACCCAAAACGTTGGCACTGGCTGTGATGCGAGCGAGCTTTATTGCAGACGGTGTACACAACAAAAACGAGGGAAAAACCAAAACAAAACCTGAACTGGGAACAACTAAAGAACACCTCTCTATGACTTTCATAGAGATAAGGTACCGCTGTACCAGACTCAGCGCCTGAAGAGATGGCTGAGCAGGTTTTGATGATGAATCTACTGGATGACACATTAGTTGACATTGCACAGATCAAACGTTGGACAGCTAAGGATGTCTTATTGCTGCAAGTTCGTGAGTACACCTTAAAAGGCTGGCTTGTTCAGACCGGGGCCTGTTTCAAGCCATATCGACAGAGAAAGCTGGAACTGAGTGTGAGGGATGATTGCGTGCTCTGCTGAGCCCGACTAATTATTCCCACCAAAGACAGAGACAAAATATTGAAACTCCTGCACCAGACTCATACAGGCATGTCGAAGATGAAAGGCTTGGCAAGGTCTTATGTATGGTGGCCTGGGATGGATGAGAACGTTGAAATGGAAGTGCAGGCATGTGAGGAGTGTCAGAAACACCACAAGTCTCCACCTACGGCACCATTACACCCTTGCGAATGGCCGGAGTCACCATAGTCCAGGATCCATGTGGACTATGCAGGGCCTTTCCTCGGGGAGATATTTCTAATCATAGTGGATGCTCCTTCCAAGTGGATGGACATTTACCCTGTGAAATCCTCTACATCACAGGTGACTATAGAGAAACTGCGACAGAGTTTCGGTGTGTTTGGACCACCTAAAATGTTAGTTTCAGACAATGGAACATGTTTCACAAGTGCTGAGTTTGAGTCATTCATGAAGCAGAATGGCATTGACCATGTGAGGTCAGCACCTTTCCATCCTTCTTCCAGTGGGTTGGCTGAGAGGGCGGTCCAGTCCCAGGAGGGGATGAAGAAAGTAAAAGCTGATACCTTGCAAACCAGACTGTCCCAATTTCTGTTCAGTTATCGCATCACACCGCATGCCACTACTGGTTTATCACCTGCAGAGTTGATGATGTCACTGAGACAGCAGATATTTTCAGCAGATATTTATGAATGCTAATTAAAAGATAAAATGATCTTGCAGGCCGACAGGTTAACCCAGAAATGTTTCCAAGTGGAGATCAGGAACCAGCTTATGAGCCTATTGGTGGACTCTGGGACTTACTGAACAATCTTTATGTTGCTCTCTATGATATCATTTTTTGGAGGCTGAATGAGCTATTAGATTAAATGGAGGCACGATATGATGAGGACTTTGACAATATCATTGAGAACAATGTAAACATTCTCAATATTAATGTGAGAGACAATAATGCCAATGTTGACCACAATGAACTGCATGATGATCATAATGCTGTTGTTGTTGTTGTTGGCATTGAAAGTGATGATTCTGATGAGGCATTTGAAGACTGTGTGGATGTTCACCAGTACATCCCAGAAGAGGATCCTCAGCCGGCTGTATCCAGGAGGAGGTCTAGAGAGATGGATGAAGAAGATGTGGAACCAAACAAAAGAATCAGATGGAGCGAGGAGTTTTCTGATGATGACTCTGACTTCATCTCTGCTTGAGACACTGATAGCGAGGGCTGTCCTCACGTTGGTAATATTGCTGATGAGGACATCAATCAGCAGGTAACAGAAGAAGAACCGCTGCCTGGTGGATCCACGAAAAGGTCCAGAAAAGAAGATGTAGATGAAGAAGAGCGTAACAGCAAAAAATCCAGGCTTGCAAACTCTGATTCGGGGACTAGCTCAACTGTCTTTTCCTCATCTTTTCCTTGTTTTGATGTAAGAATTCCAGGATCCAGAATTCAAAAATATGTAAATAAGAAAATATTTAAATTGATTTTTTCTGAGCAACACAATCAAACCTCTAAGATGTCACCAGAAGGCTTCAGATCTCTTTCACCTGTGCTGAACAGGTGAATAGAAATAATTTTGCCATCTTTTGTCTGCAATAGAGAGGACAATCCAGGGCCTCTGGGTCTGTTCCACTTATTGTGTATGAACTGATACATCAGGGCAACATGGGTGTTCCCCTTCCCAGAGGTTTAAGATGTCAAGGCAGTGGACAGTATGATGCGATGGGCTATTGTACCCAGAGGGGTGGAGAAATCCAGGTAGAGTTGGAGGAGAAGAAAGCGACAGAAGCTGCTCGAGAAATAAAGTTTTACCTTGTGAGGAAAGAGCAGAGAAAGAGAAGGATCTGGAGGTGGCAAGCCCACACTCTCTACCCCATTTCAGACTTAAACAGGACCAGCGGACTCAGAAATATGAGGTGAGGAAGGAGCTCCACTACTTTATTCTGCTCTTATTTCATTCTTTTTTTGTCGTGACTTAGAGTCACCGAGCCTCACGTGTGAAGGTAACGTAAAATAATCGTTATTGCATTTTTATTGAAAAATAATGTCAGCTTGAATATAAATAAAGCACGAAAGCTTCACTGGACTGATAGTGCCTCGTTACATGGATCAGTTTGTGACATTGCCAAATACAAGTGCACGTTAACTGTGACCTGCTGTCAAAGTCATTTTGCGTCGAGGTCCACATCCAGCCCACTTTAATCTTAAGTGGGCCGAACCAGCAAAATGCATTTAATCCCCTTTAATATAAAACAAAAGTGCAATTTCAAGACTTTTTCTTCTACACAATAAAGAAATGCTGCTCAGAAAATGTTTTTTCCCCCTGTGGACTCCAGTAATCCCCTGTAATCGGCACATTAGTAATACAAACCAGCTAAAGCTACAGGTAGTTGTTAAATACCAGGAGGGGTGAGAAGGGTCGCTCTATAACCTTTTACAAAACCTGCTTTTGAATGAATTAAATTCATAAATATATTTTGCATCATTTTTACAATCTGGGAGCAAATAAAGTTTAAAAAATACAATGTGGTTTTTTATAGAGGTGGGAAGTACAAATTCTACATTACTGTACTTAACTATGTGCTTTCCTTGAGTATTTATCTTTAGGTAATTTTACTTTTACTTCCAACACTTCAGCTTAAATATCTTTACTTTCTGTATGCATTTTTTCCACCTCTGGCTTTCACAGAGGCTTATATGTTGCACTATTTCTTAGAAGGCTGCCACTTATTTTGGTATTTTTTCCTTTTTCTTTTTGCAGCTAAACAAAGAAGATATAATATGTTCACAAGCCTGTCTCTTTTACTTTGGGCTGTGTAGGGAATATCTGTTTCCATGTTTAGAGTCTTTGTGCTGTGCTAAGCTAATCAAGTACAGCTTGACATGAGACTGATATTTTTTTTTAAATAAACCTTTTTACTCACAGAAAGTGTAGAGTACGGAAGAGCAGACCAATTAAAAAAGAGGACATAAAGTTTTAGCAAGACTGAGAGCGTTCGTGGCAACGGACTTCTTATTTGTCATTTGTTAAAGCAGGACTCCCCCTTAAAGAAGATTAATATGATTTACACTAGGCGTGCCCATATTGATGTAACTGGAGTCAGCCTCAGTACTGACTGTCCATCCAGAACCTTCTCCTGAGACACAGACAATAGTGTTGCATGCCCTGGAGACAGTCTTAACATTTAGATGGTAATCTGAGCAGAAGAAACGGGATTGTTGGTATTATTCTCATAATTTAGCTCAGCTGTACTCTGAGTCATTTCCCATAAAAATGCTTCGGTGGCGGGAAAACTACATGACATTATGCCAAGAAGATTTTAAACTAAAGCCCTCACCTCAAAACTAACTCACAGTTGAAACTCTGAGTTAAATTTACCAACTATAGTTACATATGTAAAAGGAGCCAATACTTATGTTTCCTGTGATAGGTTTTCATATTAAAAAGGTCAAAGTTTAAAATACTGAAAACCTGAGCAAGTGTATTTGTTGGGTCTGTCTAGCACAGGCCCACTGCTGGAACAAGACAATTTAAAAACACAGCAAAAGCATTGAACACTGCTGATGTTATGAACACTCTACACACACACACACACACACACACGAGTCAAGATGCAGAAAAACTGCTCACGGAAACGCTGCACACTCCAGTTATCACAGTTACCATAGTTCTGTTTCCCTGTCTTTGATGAGTTCTCAGCCAGCTCTCGATCTGATAATGTGTAGCTTGCTAATCAGCTCAGAAGAGACCACAACGCAACCTCACACAGTGGTTGCGTGCTTTGCCCACAGTGAGACCTGCACTTTCATATTCAATTCAGCTTCTCCATCAAGTAGTTTTCAGCCGCTTCATACAGGGTTCAGCATATTAGTTGTTTTCACAGGTGTGCTCTATATCTCAACAACGGCTCATAATAAGACGACAGTCTTTCAAACAGGTCAAGTGCCTCTATGCACATCATTAGTTAAAATATTTACCTATATCACTTCACCTCATATGTCATTGTACTGAATTTGAGCAACCCTAAGCTTAATGCAGATTACTTTTAACAACTGACACAGACGTACACAAACAACACAAATAGGCCTATAACTTTCCCCAGCCTGCGTGAACCCGCACGGCCGTTGAGCTCCTGGACTCGCGTGTACCCGCGCAGTCACTGAGCTGCACCTGCCTGCGTGAAACCGCACGGCATAGGCGTTGCTCTCTTTCCTTTATAAGCCTGCGATTAACCGCACGGCTCAGGTCTGCGTGAACCCGCGCAGCTACAGCGCTCTTCTTTGTACAGTACTTACTTGGTGCTGTTCTTGCATTAATCTCGAATCCCGTCAATCACCATCCAGCGAGGAGAAAAAACAGACAGCTAATCCACCGGCCCGATGACAAATTCTTACGTCTCGGGACTTTACTACAGGAACTTCTATACGTCCTGGCTGACGTCCATCGGCGTGTCTCTTTTTCCCCTCGGTGAATGTCAATTCTAGGGATCCGGCATCGAAGGACCAATTAATGTTGGGTCTGTCTAGCACAGGCCCACCGCTGGAACGAGACAATTTAAAAACACAGCAAAAGCACTGAACACCAAGTAGGCAAAGTTCTTCTTGTTACTCATGCATGAGGGAGACCTGCCTGGAGCCAAGTGTCGTTCCACCACTTGACCTCCGTCAGACTCTCAGCCAGGTTCCCCATAGCACTCCTTTTATTGTGGTTACATGAATATGCATATAACATCTTACATAGGTATACATGTGAACAAAGAATACTGTGTGTGTGTGTGTGTGTGTGGGGTGGGGGGGGTCAGAGTGTGACCCCATAAAGACTTCCCTAAACCTGCTGGTCTGGAAGTCCAGCAGTTCATCTAAACAAAAGGCACTTAGACTAAAACAGATATAGCTACGTTTATCCTACCATAAAACAATAAGAGAAGGTACGACCTCTCCCATGCTCCCAGAGTGCTCTCTAATGCACACAAAGTTTGCAGACTATCAAGGATCAAACCTCTACCAATCTACAACTAATTATAAAACTCTAAGCATATATAAGTAGATATTTCTAAGCATAAATGACAATCAACAATACAAAACCTAACAGTATCACCCAATTTATGTGAGCTGAAAACAGAAATTAGTGTGTTAAAACACTAATACTTTCTCCATTTTTTGATTTGCATACTATCAGTGATAGGAGATACCTCCAATTCAATTCAGTTTTATTTATATAGCAAAATCACAACAACAGTCGCCTCAAGGCGCTTTATATTGTACAGTAGACCCTAAATAATAGATACAGAGAAAACCCAACAATCATATGACCCCCTATGAGCAAGCACTTTGGCGACAGTGGGAAGGAAAAACTCCCTTTTAACAGGAAGAAACCTCCAGCAGAACCAGGCTCAGGGAGGGGCGGGGCCATCTGCTGCGACCGGTTGGGGTGAGAGAAGGAAGGCAAGATAAAAGACATGCTGTGGAAGAGAGACAGAGGTTAATAACAAGTGTGATTCAATGCAGAGAGGTCTGTTAACACATGTTGAGAGAGAAAGGTGACTGAAAGGGAAAAACTCAGTGCATCATGGGAATTCCCCAGCAGCCTATGACTATTGCAGCATAACTAAGGGAGGATTCAGGGTCAGCTGGTCCAGCCCTAACTATATGCTTTAGCAAAAAGGAAAGTTTTAAGCCTAATCTTAAAAGTAGAGATAGTGTCTGTCTCCCGAATCCAAACTGGAAGCTGGTTCTGTCAAGGTTGGCTGAGAGAGAAGCCAAACGCTGGACTTTTAGAATGGAGAAAGTGTGTTTATTTACAGAGAAAACAGTGCCAGTAATCCACAGTGTGTGCTCTCCCAATTCCCCGTGCTGTGATTCCTCTCCGTGATGCGTGGTACTGTTTCGTCCTCCTCAGTGCTGTGTTCAACAGTGTGCTGCTCCCTCCACACGTTTGCGTAATCACCCTGAAAACAAGAGATGCCACGATGAGTGCCGCCCCATCCACCGACAGACAAAACACATTAACCATTCCAACAAGAGAGTAACTGAAAACACGATTATACGAGCTGAGCACTAACTGTATTTCTAGATTAATAATCCTGCGCTGAGTAGAGCTCCTTGATTAGGCAGATCAGCAACAGGTGAGTGACTGTCACAGGTGTGGCTGGCTCCAAGGCAGGGACTCTGCAGGCCTGGTGGGGCAGCAAAGCTGACATGACAACACACAGGGAAACGAGGAACCAGGAGCAGATCGCACCACAACCATAAATGATTAAGAAAGATGAATAAAACTCATAATATTCATTCAACTCAAAAATAACACATGATCCCTGGGTCACAGACTCAGACCCATGACAGGTTCCACAGAAGAGGGGCCTGAAAACTGAAGGCTCTGCCTCCCATTCTACTTTTAAATACTCTAGGAACAACAAGTAGGCCTGCAGAGCGAGAGCGAAGTGCTCTAATAGGGTGATATGGTACTACAAGGTCATTAAGATAAGATGGGGCCTGATTATTTAAGACCTTGTATGTGAGGAGCAGGATTTTGAATTGAATTCTGGATTTAACAGGAAGCCAATGAAGGGAAGCCAAAACAGGAGCAATCTGCTCTCTCTTTCTAGTCCCTGTCAGGACTCTTGCTGCAGCATTTTGGATTAGCTGAAGGCTTTTCAGGGAGTTTTTAGGACTTCCTGATAATAATGAATTACAGTAGTCCAGCCTAGAAGTAATATGATCTGCACCAAGGCCCAGTAATTAAGGAGGTTTTTTAGACCTCAACCAATCAGCAAATAATACCGGCTGACAATATTGCCTGCCATTGTTAGCTATTTGCCATTTTATCGGCATTGCAATTTATCAAAGTTAAAAAATGGTTTTAAAGTAAAGAAGAGATGAGAAAAACACATTTTAACTATTTGATCACCTTTTTTTGAATAATGGAGACATTTGAACTCTCATTCAGCAGCCTCGCCCAGTTTTAATGCGACTTAAGGAGAGTTCCTGGTATTTAGCCTGTAATGAGGTTGTTCTCTCAACTCACATTAATACAGCATTTTCAAATGCTCAAGACATAAAGACACAGGAATATTTATTTTACTATGTAATGCATGTTACATAGTGTTACACAGTAACATGCATTACAACAAAACAAAAAAACAGCAGACTTCCTTTACTTGACTTCCTTTAATATGTAAAATCAATATTCCGTGGTGTTAATACCAGTGTTTGAAATGCCACAAATACAACTACCCAGCTGCTGAGCAATCGGTGATAAGTGCAAGTGAGTAGATTAAAAGAAAACATATAACAAAGGTTATAAAAAACGGTTCTAATTTTGTGTGTCCAAATAAATTTTAAAAAGTTGTCTCATATATTGGAATATAGTACTTTTAAATCCCCAAATACTGGTATCCAAAATCCATTAAAAATCCTATAGCTGTCAGCTGTAATTACTTTTAAGCTTTAATCATGCAAAGGAAGTAGAAAATATGGCAGTGGAGTGGCGAACTGTGTTTCTTTCAGTTTACAACACAAAGAGGATGAACAGGTCAGGTAAATTAAAAAAGAACCTAAAACAAAACCAGAAAAACAAATGAATAAATAATAAAAGTGCTTCACTTTTTTCATTTTGTAAATCAGGATTATCAGAGCAGAGCATTGTAATTACCTTAATTTCTTATTACGTCTCTGAAGTCAACAAAAAACTGAAAATTTTGTCATCATAATGCTGAAAATTATAACGTCATCAACAGAAATGATTTTTGCTTTTTGATCTTTAATACCATCAGCCAGTTTGTGCAGCACATGACATTTTTTCAGACGCCAAATAACTGCCAGATCTTACAAGTCCACAAAATCGATTTCTCATTGTGAGACAAAAAACAAATTAATCACACAAAGACCTTTGATCGGGTTTGGGGCGTTTATTTTTAGGTGAAATGAAATATTTGCTTTAAATATAAAACTCAATGTCTTCATTTATGGTAAAACCAGGTTGGAATATTTAGGCATGCTATGTCTTAGGAAGTGTTACGATTACTTTGACACTTCTTTTTTTAAGTGAATGCATTAACTATAGGAGATCTAATTTCATGGTATGATGTAGCCATAATATATTTTTAGGAACTCAACAAAAACATGTTTTTTCTTATTGCAAACGACAGTCCTACTTAGATGGTGAGTCAAGATAACCCCATAGGTTTATTTGTGTTAAATCGACCGTAACAATGATGATGAGTGATGAAAGTAGGCCTGTAAGTAGAGTAAAAAAGGTAACACATGCTCTCTGGTTACAAAAGCCTAGTTACACACCAAAGCTTGACAAACAAACCTGGATGACATTTCACCTCACTCTACATAAGGTAGAAACTGAGGCCACTTGGGTATAACATGGGTGTTTATCTGTACTTAGAGAGCTATAAAAAGTCCAAGTTGGATGAAATTCCTCTCTCCTTACCTTTGTATACCTTTGTATGAACTCTTCTTATTTATCCATTGTCCAAGAAGAGTGCAGAATGTTTCTAGAAAAAGTATATTGTTGCATATGCTACTTTAAATAGTTATGGGCAGTTCCCATAATTTTCTTTTCTTTGCCTTCACAGGTTTTCACTTCTGTGGCTGTTCAGTCTATTTGCAGTGCTGGATTGCTGCGGTGCAGGTGTCAGACTTCTGCATAATACTTTCAGGTGACACATGATCAGGTGCATCTTCTTTCAAGCTCATTTCTTGTCTTTATGTCTTTTCAGTTGATCTGAGGGACTGTGAGGAAGCAGGCAGCAAATGTAACCCCAACGCTGACTGTATAAGGATCAGTAACACCTTTACCTGTGCGTGTAGAATGGGCTACCAGGGCGATGGTCTGACCTGCAGCGACATCGACGAATGTGGCAGTGGCCTGAACAACTGCCACAAACAGGCAGACTGCACCAATACCTTAGGCAGCTATAACTGTGTCTGCCGCAGTGGATACACTGGAGATGGTACAACCTGCGAGGACGTAGATGAGTGTCAAAGAGACAACGGGGGTTGCCATGAATATGCCCTTTGTACTAACTTTGAGGGAGGACGAAAATGCCAGTGCAAAAGTGGCTTTACTGGTAACGGCTTTCAGTGTACTGATATTAATGAATGCACAACACCGAATATTTGCCATTGGAACGCCACCTGCACCAACACCCCAGGGTCTCACGTCTGTGCCTGTAATCCTGGTTATAAGGGCAATGGAAAGTACCTATGTCTGGATGTAGATGAATGCTCAGAGACTCCAAACGTGTGTCCTTCTGGACATGGCTACAGAGGTTGTAGAAACCTGCCTGGATCCTACAGTTGCATATGCAGCCCTGGCTTTGAAAATATTGGAAAGAATTGTGTGGACATCGATGAATGTGCCGCTAGCACCTGCAGCCGTTTTGCAGATTGTGAAAACAGCTTAGGGTCATACACGTGTACTTGCAAAAGTGGCTTTGCTGGGAATGGGCTGACATGCGTAGACATAAACGAATGCAATGGAAACAATGCATGTGACCCCAGGGCGGTGTGCATCAACAGGATGGGCAGTTATGAGTGCTCTTGTCCAGTTGGTTTTCTTGGAAACGGAAGACAGTGTAACGACATAAATGAGTGTGAAAGAACTAACATCTGTCCTTCTACCACTACCTGTGTGAACACTGGTGGCTCGTACTACTGTGACTGTGGCCGCGGCTTTATCTTTAATAACTCCCAGTGCACTGACGTGGATGAGTGCGTGCCCGGCCGCTGCAGCCCCTACGCAACCTGCACGAATTCACCTGGGTCCTTCTCTTGTCAGTGCTTGGAGGGATACAGGGGGAACGGTTTTACCTGTGAGGATGTGGATGAATGCTCGCAGGCTAAGCAGTGCCACACCAGTGCTCTGTGCATTAACCTTCCAGGCTCCTACAACTGTACTTGTCAGGTGGGTTATTCTGGAGATGGGATACAGCAATGCAGGGATATAAATGAGTGTTTGGTGGATAACGGAGGTTGCAGAAACAAAGCTACGTGTGTCAACAATCAGGGATCCTTTTCATGCCTGTGTCAGCCTGGCTACGTCTTGATTAACCGTACCCTTTGCCAGGATATAAATGAGTGCAAGGAATTGAAGAATCCCTGTGGCGTGAATGAAGAGTGCAATAACACCGACGGGGCGTACCAGTGCCCATGCCGGGTTGGGTACTACCGCCCTGGTAGCAACATGAATTGCATCGATATTGATGAGTGTAAAGACAACCCATGTCATGTCCATGCCACGTGTATCAACACGCAAGGCTCATACACCTGCACCTGCAAGAGTGGCTTTGTAGCAAACGGCACTCAGTGCGTGGATGCAGACGAGTGTTCTCAGAAGGATATATGCCACGCACGAGCAAACTGCACTAACCTAATAGGGAACTTCTTATGCACTTGTCAGGAGGGTTTCAGGGGCGATGGCTTCTTCTGTCAGGACGTGGACGAATGCTCCATCTCTAATACAACCTGCCCCGCTTTCTCAACATGTATCAACTCGGCCGGTTCTCACGTCTGCTCATGTTTGAATGGTACAGTGGCCTTTAATAACACTTGTGTGCCACCCAGCCCACTGTGTGACCCTGCGTGCCACAGTCGCGGCCTGTGCCACCGTTCACCAACTGGATACCAGTGCGTTTGTGACCTGGGCTACACGGGCAATGGACTGACTTGCTCCGACATAGACGAGTGCCAGAGGGAAAATGTTTGTCCTCAAAATGAAATGGAGTGTAAAAATATCCCTGGATCATTTTCCTGCACCTGCAAACAGGGCTACACTCTCAATGGAACTCAGTGTGTCGGTAAAACAAACTTTTCATATGTCTCACAATTACTCTGTCAAGGCATGTTTAACACTTTATTATAACGTTAACAAAACAAAATTCTCAATAATATAGATGCGTATCTCTCATATACGGTTTGATTGGGCTTTTTATTCAAACTGTTTAAGAAACCAGGCTTAATACTGATTAACAAACCACCGGCTCTTCCTGGATCCAGAATAATGAGTTACTTCATTTATAGTATTCATTTCCTAATATTTGTTTTAACCTCCTAGGACCTGGCGTCCAATGTGGACATCACATTTTGGGTTGTCTAGACTAAAATACAAAATTTTGCTCTACAAGGGCCTGATATACACTTACAAGGACGTTATACCGCCACTCTTCTATCTGAATTTAAAGCGAACATCCTTATATGCGGATCTAATTTTTCTCAGAAACAAAAATCAGGTTAAAAAAAAATCACATAATTCTTTGTTTTTACATTCATCAGGTCCCAATCAGCCCAAATAGCAAAGAGAAATTAAAAATGCATGCCATGGAAAAGTTTGTGTCTTAGGAGGTTAAACTTATTTATTTTATCTCACTTCTAGATTAAAGTTTGCATATAACATTTTTTTAAATCTATATTATTTTCCTTTTTTTCTACCCTACCTTACACCTCATTTCCTGTTACCTTTGTAGATGTGAACGAATGTGAGACAGGTCAACAGGATTGCAGTGAATTTGCTAAGTGTGTCAACACAGTGGGCAGCCATTCCTGTTTCTGTCTCAGCGGTTTTACGGGTGATGGAAAAAACTGCTCTGGTAAGTAATAAATCCTCATTTAACCTTCAATTGGAAAAATTGGTTCTTTTGCACCAATCAGTGGACTTTCTTTGAGCTTTTTTTTTTTAGCACCATTCGGAGCTGTTTCGCTGACACTGTCCCATTTTGGATAAATTATAGACTTCGATGAGTGCCAAGGCCAAAACGAAGGATGCCACCCAGCTGCCAGCTGCACTAACACACCTGGATCATTCTCCTGTGTCTGCCCACTTGGCATGGAGGGAAATGGCTTTGACTGTCAGGATGTGAACGAATGCCAGGAGAATAGTACCCTGCCACACAACTGCAGCGCCTTAGCTTTATGCCTCAACACCAACGGATCCTACCGCTGCCAGTGCAAGCATGGATACCAGGGTGATGGCTTTGTGTGTGATGATGTGGATGAATGTCAGCTGGTCACAGCCTGTAGCAAGAACATGACGTGTAGCAACATTCCCGGATCGTACACCTGTTCATGTATCTTGGGACGGGAGTACAACAGGGGAACATGTGTGAATGAAACAACCTGCCTGAACGCTAGTGCCAACTGCCACCCACTCGCCAAGTGCCTTCCACATGAGGGTTCCTTCTACTGTCAGTGTGCAGATGGTTATGAAGGAACAGGAACTGACTGCTGGGATGTGGATGAATGTGGCAAACTACAGCATCAAATCTGTCCTGCCTTCTCCAACTGTTTCAACACAAATGGTTCCTTCATCTGCACATGTTGGAGTGGTTTTCAAGACAACGGGACGCACTGTCTGGATATAGATGAATGTGCGATGGGTGACTTCCCTTGCCCTGACAACAGTACCTGTACTAATCTAGAAGGGAGCTACAAATGTACCTGTGACCCTGGTTTTACAAGGAATGGCACTCTGTGTGTGGACATAGACGAGTGCTCACTTGGCCTTACTCTGTGTCCTAAATTTTCCAACTGCTTAAACACAATTGGATCTTCTTTTTGTAAATGCTGGGAAGGTTACCGAGGAAATAGCACTGTCTGCGAGGAGATCAATGAATGCCTAAATAACATTACCTGTCCGGAACATAGCAGGTGTATCAACACCAATGGTAGTTACCTGTGTCCTTGTGACAGAGGATTTTCCAGCGTCGATAACTTGTGCGTGGACATTGATGAATGTAGTAACAAAGAACTAGGGGAGCTTTGCACCAATGGAACATGTGTCAATGCTATTGGCTCATATTTCTGTGAATGTGTCGAAGGATTCTGGAGTAACAATACGGGATGTGTAGATGTGGATGAGTGCTCAAACTCTTCAGTGTGCCAGCCCCATTCCACATGCGTCAACATCCACGGGTCTTACGACTGCCCCTGTAATGAAGGGTTCAAACTGAATGGTACTGAGTGCCAGGACTTGGATGAGTGTCAGGAGCCAGAAAACAGCCAGTGTCCAGAGCACTCATTTTGTAACAACACCATAGGGTCCTTCGTCTGTCGGTGCTCTCCGGGGTACAAAACCATTAGCTCAGGTTGTGAGGATATAAATGAATGCAAAGACACCAACGCCTGCCGCTTTGACCAAGTTTGCAAAAACCTGCCTGGATCGTACAGCTGCTCTTGCCCATTGGGATATCATGAAGAGAAGCTGGCATGTGTTGACACCGATGAATGCAAGGATTCACCTTGTCACCCAGTGGCACGTTGCTTGAACACACCCGGATCCTTTTCATGCCACTGCCCAACAGGTTTCAATGGAAACGGCTCCTGGTGCAGAGACGTGGATGAATGCGCTGCCTTGAGTAAACCATGCCACCCTCTTGCTCACTGTCACAACACCCCAGGCTCATTTGTTTGTATATGTATGCCAGGGTTTATGAGTTTGGGGCCATTGTGTGTGGATATTAATGAATGCAATGCCATGAATGGGAATTGTCACTCTGCTGCCACATGTATCAACAATGTAGGAGGTTTTAAATGCTCGTGCAATCAGGGCTGGAAGCCCACCAATGACAACGGTCATGGAAAAGAAGGATGTGCAGACTTGAACGAGTGTGCGTCACTCCATCCATGTCGTGGGGAATCATCCTGTATTAACCTACCAGGGTCTCATACCTGCTCCTGTCTGAGAAACAGCACATTATGCAGAAGGATAACTATGACGGGTTGGCTATGTCTTAGTTAATCACCTTAATAATTATACACTGATGTTTGTGTTTGAAATGTGAATATTTTCTTATTTTACATTCTCAAAACTTTCTTTTGGTCAAATTATGCATTATCTAAACAAAAGGTTTTCACTGTGCTACAAGCATCTATTAGACCTGCTGGCAAGCTAAATTTGGAAATTCTATTTGAAACTGTCACAATCACTTCAAAAACAGCCTGCAAATAATGCTAAGCCTTGAAATTAATTCATGTAACTTCATTAAAATATATCGTGTAATTAAAAAGGCGTTTGTTAGTATACCTGCGTTGCCTTACTGATTAAGCTAACATTCCTGCAAAATGAGAAAACAAAACGAAAACAAAAAACAAAGAAATAAGAAAACCTTAACTTTATTTACACGTTTTCAGTCGATGGTTGTGGATTCAGAGTGCTTCTTTATATTACCACTGAGGTGGTTAAATATGTTTATCTAACACAATGTAGATTAGGCTGCTAACTGAACGTAGTGTTTTCATTGGGAGAAACACTTCGTCACTCATCCAAGTGACTCCTTCAGTCCTCAGTGGAGACTTGGATCAGTGACAAACACTACCTTCAGATTAAAAGAATCAACTTTATGTACCTTTCTGTCTTTTCTGGATGATTGAGCATGCTTTAAGAAAGTTTTCAGCATGTTGTATTAGCAAAAAGGACAATAGTCTAGCTCACAGCATGTTGGGGTAGCAGCAAAGCTCAGTTGGATTACTTTTAATGACACATAAACAATCAAAACAATAATTGTGCATGTTCACAGCAAACTGATTTGCATAGTTGATGACTTTAATATGTTCACATTAATATGTAATGTTAAGGTTCAAATATTGAGGAGGAGAGTACAAACAACCATTGGTCCAGAAGATCTTGGTCAAACAATTGATTTTAATGAATACACGCGTGGGAAGACCAGTTCCGTTCGCAGACAGGGCTGATCTTTGACTTAATCAAAGCATACACAGATTTTTATAGCATCAGGGTTTGAATTAATGACGCCCCTTCATACGTCACAGACAGAATATATACATACGTCAAATCAAAACCACAATAACTTTTAACACAGTTTAAAAGAACATTGTCTTCTATCTCGTCTGAAACACAAGCCCCACATCCTGCCAGATGCTGTTCCTCTTTCTTGCATCTGTCAGAAAGAAACTGTTCCTCTTTCCAGAGACAAACATGACCAACTTCTCACCTATAAATGAATCTAACTAATGTGTGTGTGTGTGTATGTGTTAACCTTACATGCTCTCTCATCTCACCTGTTGCACTTCTGACCTTTTACCAGAACCGAGGCTCATCCTTAGGTACAATAACCTAACTGGAACTATATGTACTACGTTGAATAAATGTTTTAATCAAGAACCTCTACTAAAAGCTTAATAAAAGAATATAAAAGTATAACAGACAATTTGAATAACCTAGTAATTCAAATAGCCTCGTCTAACCTGCTCCTCAGAATAACTTAGACTCTGCTTTCATTTCTGCAAACTCTCTGCAACTTCCTGTCAGCCTGCAACTTAGTCTTTCTGAAAGACACACACACTGTTTAAACATCTGAATGCAATATCAATGCTGCAGATTATATTATTAATGCAATGGTAATGATGATGATTATTTACCAATAGCAGTAAAATAATTTCCCTGATCCACAGTAACTTATTAATTTTCTGTTATTCCCCCCACAGAGGGAAATCTGTTTCCCTATGGAGATGATGTCGGGGATAATGAAGTAAACATAGACACAGAAGATGGAAATTCTCCATATATCACACCACCAATGGGCTTCCCCTTCATGGGGAAATTGTACGACAGAATTTATGTGAGTTCTTACTACGATTATCTATAAATACTGGAACAAAGGTGCCCAATTTATTATAATGTTGTAGAACGTTCCTTCAAAGTAGCAGCAACTAATGAGTAAATCGTGATGCAAATGCAGTAATCAACACATTTCAGAAATGAGAATGACATTTTCTTACTTATACATTTGTTGAATTACGCATACTGTACATGCAATGTACTAATTGCAGCAGGGTATTAGCCACAAAATATGCAAATAGTGTAGATTTTACTTAAAGGTTTACAGCAGTGGGAGTTCTTGCACTCAGCTCTTTATAATGAAGTAAATATAGTGAGGAGAGCAGTAAAATTAGCCATAAATATCGAGTTTCATAGGAGAAGATTGGTATTTTAATGTGTGTCTGATATTGTCTCTCCTTTTGTTTTCTTAGTTTTCTGATAATGGGCTTGTCCAGTTTCAATCTGTTGTTGAGAATGAGCAGTATCTCCTCCCGTCTCCTTTCGCCAGTGGTTTCCCTGACCACATGAACTTGACTTTGTTAGCTGTGTTCTGGGATGATGCAGACCTCACTCAAGGGAATGGACGGCTCCTCTATCAGGTTCAATGCCATCAGATGTCATTGTTGAGCTGGGATCAAAATGACTTTTGAAGTTCATTTTACATGATTTTGTTTGGTTGAAACAATAAAGTAAAACCGAGACAAAGAACAACCTAGTTTTCTTTTAAAGAGATACAGCTTACAGAGCAAACTCACCACGGTGTACTTGCTTTGTTTTAATACTCCCTTTCTTGTTAAATGTTAGGAATACCACACACGGAATGTGTCAGATGTCTACTCCCAGGTAGTGGTTAATCGTACGGCTGAGGAAGTAACAAAATTTGAGCGCCTGAAAAACAAGCCAGCTTTTACCCCTGCCTGGATCCTCAAAATCACCTGGGACGATGTGATGCCTGTCTCCTTCCAGAAGGTCAGCTTCTCAGAGGTGAGTGTCAGCCAACACTTGCATTCTTATTTTGTATGGACATGTCACACAAACATTGCATATGGTCATAATCAGTAGTTTCATAAGAAAGAAATTGCCTATTCTTAAATTTCTGTATGTTTTATCTTTTATCTTCTATTTTTATCATTGTGTATATTTCCAGTTTTTATCTGTTGTACAGTGTCCTTGGGTGCTTTGAAAGGCGCTATTTAAATAAAATGTATTATTATTATTATTATTAAAGCAAGATAAAAAGAGCAAAAGTGGGTTTTGATGTTAATGATGTTTGTAAAAGTTTTGCTTTATTATACTATTTTCAAAACTACCAAACTCCGTCTCACAACAATGCAGTAACGTGCTTTTGTGTGTGTGTGTTTTTTTACTATAATACTGGGCTAAATATGTTCACATTCATAGTGTTTACTGGAAAAGTTAATGACCAGTTTATAATCTGAACCTCTGATTCAGGCTCTAACTGTTCCTGAAAGCTCTTATGTACCAGTTCCAGTAAAAGGTTTGATTGAGCAGGGAGTGCAACTGGTTACTTGTCAGATTGACCTCATTTACGTGTTATTCTTTTATGCAACGTGAGCCTTTTGAACAGTAAGCTGAAAGAAAGGCATTCAGTCCTGAGTCCTGGAACATGCTGTTTTATTTAGCTCTGGTGCCACCTTGGGGCTGTGTTGCCCTGAAGGACTTGAATGCAGAGTGCAGTGATATCTGCTGCCACCAGTCTTCATCAGATCACTTTTACACTGTATCTAAGCTCTTGTTGCTCTTTTGTACTGACAATACTAGAAGCAAAGTACATCAAAACAAAAGCACACATTTATTAGCCACTTTGAATAAGTGATTGAATTCATTAAATTTACTTTTTGTTGCAACATGTTGAGTTAGTTAAAGTTAATGTTTATTATTTTTAGAGCAACACTTTCCAGTGTATCCTGACCACAGACGGAGCGCGTTCCTTTGCCCTCCTGCGATACGGGGAGATGAAATGGGGCCCAGGTCAGAGAAAATACCACGATGCTCTTATCGGCTACACAAATGGAAAGCTGTCTATCAAGGAAATCCCAGTCCCTCCTGAAAACCTCTTTGGCCCTGGGGGAAGATACAGGCCTCAGCAAGTGAAAGGAACCATGGGGAACTTAGGCCAGCTGGTCTATGATTTGACAGGACCGACGGGGTCAGACGTAGATCCCGGCTTCAGGTGCCAGGAGTGGGCAGTGATGGAGCCTGATCCTGATGAGTGGACAAAAGGGCTGCCTGCCTGTCCCTGCACACGGAACCAGGTTCTGGAGGATCTGTTATTTATGCAGGATACATCTGTGCCTAGTCCAACTGTGGTGAAGCTGAGGGGTCAGCGGTGGGGGAGTGCACAGGGGCAGACCTTCCGCTCAGTCCTGTCCAATATATATGGCTCAGGGAAGAGGTGTGTGTATGAACCTGATGGTGCCCTGCTAGCTGGATACAATGAGCGCTACTTCTCTGGATACAGCATACAGAAACATATTGGTAATACAGGCCTTTTCTTTTGTCAAATCAGCCACAAAACTAGTATAACTACTAACTAACATATTAGTGTAATGTACAAACTTGTCACGGCCGCTTGATGAAATAACACGACTATGTTATTTTATTAAACTTCTCTCTTCAGATGACGATCTCCTGCCCTTTCAGTGGTGTTGTATGGAGTCTCCACTTTGCCACTTTTACCTCGACAAGAGGCCGCTGGACCGCTGTCAAGGTTACAGCTGGACTAGACCTGACGGCTTCACCCAATCCAAGAAGGTGACACAGGGTATAGGTGAGCGGCTGCTCCATTTTAAGAAAAACTAATACATATCAATCTGTCTGTATAAGTAAGTGTCACGGCTGAGAAGCCGGTGTGTTTTTGATGTGGACCCAAGTGGATGACCGTTAACAAAAGGCGAGTCGTTTATTTTGCCCAAAAACATGAATACAAAAGGCAAAAAATGAACAGTGACGAAAACTGAAACTAAAACCCAAACTAGTAAAACCTAGAACTTTCAAAATAAAAGAGAAATATAATGGAATGTAGAAATGACAACACAAGCTTGACAGTAAACATGGAAACACAAACACATGACTCACTGGGGAAACAGAACAAAAAGAGAGACATACGGGAACAGATAAGGAAGACAAAAGCACGGCATAACTACACATTAAACATAGAGGACGCCCATATGGAAAAGATATACATAAATCTTATAAAGTTTCTTGCGTGAAACTTGTATGAAAAGCATACAAGAGTGAAAACAGATATAAGATCCCTTGAAAAATTATATAAATGAAATTGTTTGTTTTGGATACTTACTAAAACAGTATATGAAAGTAATGAGAAAGTGGCCACTTTCATGAGTAAATCATATAAGCCTGATATGATTCACTATATGAAGTAAGTCTTTTTTTCTATTTCTTTTCCATATGGGCAAGACAGACAGAAGACTGGAAAAGACTCATAAACACATGGATGAAATAAAAACTAGAATAAAACTCAACTAAACCCTGACTAAATAATAACACAAAAACTTAACATTATTGCAATCTAACATAAAAAAATCTAAAAGCTGGGTCACAGGCTCAGCCCCTGACAGTAAGATGTGAAAAACTTTTTAATTCCCCCCCTCCTCCCGTGCAGCAATGGTGTATGGCAGCCTCCATTTCATCACCTTCGATGGGAGAACGTACTCCTTCAAGGCCCTGGGAGAGTTTGTGATATTGCGTCTCTCATCTGCCACCGGCTCTAATATCTTCACCCTGCAAGGACAGATTGACAGGCTACACCCAGACGTGAACAGGATCACTGAAGTCCCAGCGGTGGTGCGCATGGCTGCCTTCTACCAAGGCATTGGCAAGGTCAGGATAAGAGCGAGAAAGTCTGTGTGCGCTAAAGGAATAGTTCCAGTTGGGAAAGCATACATATTCACTTCCGGGAGTTAACTCAGGAGATTTTTAGCTTAAGCGAGATTTTCTAAGCTAAACTTATCATCTCCACTTCATTATAAAATGCACATGGCAGTAATCCTCTAACTTTCGGGAAGTAAACAGATGATTACACTTTCTTTATTTTCCATAAAAGAGTAGAAATCTGCTGCACATAGATCTATATCAATTTGACTGAACATGTGCGATCATCTCTGTTGTGGCAGGTACATGAGGTTCAGTGTCAAAATCTTTAGGCAGTAATGAATTTATCTGAAATCTTAATTCCATATTTTTCCTATGCTTCTTTCGTTGCAAGATGCATGCAGGCTTAAATAGATATTAGATGATACTGTTGATATTCCATGGATGAACCAAGCTCCAGATAAACATTTGAAATTTTCAGATTGAATGGAGGAGTTCAGAGAAGGACAGCAGACTGCGAGTTTTGGTGGATGACGTTGAAGTCCCAGTCACCGTTGGTAATAATCACCACACACATCTCAAGTGTATATTTTTATTCTTTAAGTGTACTAGAGAAGCTTTGCATGCCGCTGGTGGGTGAGGAGTCTGTGATCACAGCCTGAGTCGTGTGCCTGAGATGAGCAAAGTGAACCAGTTGGCTCAGAGAGATTTCCTTGTTATTACCTCATTATTTTAAATTTTCAACACATTTAATACAATCATCCATCACTGTAACAGTGTATACATGACTAAAAAGGAGGAAAAGCAGTAATAATAGATCCCTTTTAAAAAGTATGTAACAATTATATAACAGTAAATCAGGCACGTGTATGAAGTATTACAGATTTGAAACCTATTATAAACAACACATTACAGTCGTAACTATATGATGCATATATGTTTGCTGTCCATTCAGGTCTTGTACATGCCAGTAAGAATAACTTTGCAGTGCGCTGTACCGAACTGCAACGCTGCGCGGCTGTGTATGCCAACGGCCTCCACGTGGTGGTGTGGCGAAGTGGGGGTAGCAATCAGCTGTGCGCCTTAGTGGAGGTTCCTGAGACCTTCTTCAACCGCACCGTGGGTCTCATGGGCCTCTGGAGCGCCAACCCCTCTGATGATTTCCTCATGTCCGATGGCAAGGCCATTCGCTCGACGGATGTCAGCACCCCTGCAGAGGAACAACTGCATCTCTTTGGTTTGTCCTGTGAGTGGATCATTGCTGTTTTTAGAAACAGGT